GGATATTTTGGTAACCATCTCTGGATATCGTATTTCTTATGCCAGATGTTTTGTTGAGCCACACAATCTCGAAAGCAAAGTCCTGTTATCAGATAGACACGCGGCCGTTTTTCACAGCGAGTTTTTCTAGATATATATTTTTTTTTCCATCGTAAATACATCGTGTGCAAACGCACTATTTGATGGGCATCTCGTAATATGCATTATGACAGAGTCAGTCTTAATCAAGTGCGATGCGTTCAGATATTCTCAGATCGGCCAATTTGCCAGCAAACACGGTTACGGAGTAGTGCACACGAATTGATGGGAATAGGCAAACACGCTCCGAATGAACAAAAAAAAAATAGTTCTTATATATCTCTGTTTTCACTCAAGCTCCAGTATACACACACCTACTTACCTACCTAGATTTCGGTTTGTATATACGTCATATATAAACACACAGCACTATGTGTGTATCGAGTTATGGCCGTATATTCACACATATTCGTTTCTTTTCTTTCTCATCTTTTAAATACAAAAGATTTGTTCTTTCTCTTCTTCTGTTTGTATATTTCTTAGGGTATGCGGTGTGGTTAATAGCTTCGAATGAAAAATCGGAAAGGCATGAATACATCTCTCCCTAGCGCTCCCATATAGGTTGGGTTTAGATCATGATTTTCTGATAAATACGAGACATGTCATGTCGAAAACAAATATTTGGTGCCGGGCATATTGTGCTCAATTTAACCTATGAAAGAAACTAAATACTTTGTAAATATATTTCTCGTTAAAATTTTCTTACATTATGAAGATTTATATTGTTTTAACACTTGCGGACATTTGTGATGCAATAGATAACAATTCTAAAAAAGAAATCGGAAGCCGAGTTCGAATTCCAGTCGAGTTCCTTACTGTTGTGGCCTGTTTAGGCGCCAGAAAGTAAGACACGGAAGACGAAAGTCGGTTGAAAAAGTATATTAAAGATATATACAAAATAATAGTGTTAGTAATAAGTAGATTAGCACTGCGTCTACTGCTCCACTTCGTCTATTCGACTCTCGCAGTTTGTATTTATGAGAGGAGGAAGAGTTCATTCTACTGTAGGAGGGTTTACCACAACAGTTACATTAACTTACGGGAAAATACACATGGGAATTCATATCTCCCCCACCAAAGCTGTAGCTTGAATAACAGGATAGACTGGGATCTATAGCACTGAGTGCCAACCAACCTACCACAGAAAGAAACGGCCGCCTACTGCGGGAATATTTCCTGTCTACTCAGTTATGAATCGAAAGAGACATTTTCTCCCAAGCGTGTATCACGCATGACACTTGATTGACTTTAGTATATTCTAGCATTCCAGCCATAGAAAGTACTACATACTCTTCGTCGTCACCCGCTCGCATCCGAGTATCGTGATCGACATCCTCGCTCGTATTCCCTTACAATGAAACATAACCCAGCGCACATGTTAGTACTTAGTATGTTCATTCCACGAAGTTATTCCTTGCAGACTGACCACAGATTCTCGACTGGATTTTTCAGGGCCAATCTATAGTACTTTGATTTGCTCATTGGTATGGCTTGCCAGTGTGTCCGTGCAGCGTTACAATTTTCTTACGCTTCCTTGAAGTAACGTCCATAGTAGACAATGACCGTAAGACAACTAATCGACAGTCGAGATAATAGTGTCCAGGCGTGATGAAACAGATTTAAACCTACACCGCGAAAATAGATTCATATTACTGCACAGCACTTCAAATGACCTAATCTGAGCAAAAAATAGAAATCGATCACACCCTGTCACTAGTGGGCGTAAAACTGATCTTATGGTAAAATAAAGGAAACTAAAGCGGTTGTTTCAATTAATTTATCCTTTACTGCTACGAATGCGGATACAGTCATATATGTTTATGTTTTGCTTTATATAGGAATAACCAATGCGGCTTTGACAGACCATTTACCCCACAGCCCGAGAGCATCAGATTTGCCAGATCACACCAGTCTCAATCCCCTTTGAGCCGCGAAAGAGGCGCTTCAGGCCAAGTTTGTGGGTTTCTCCGTCGCGCAGAGTTGTCCAACAAAATCATATTCACGTGAATGGTTTCGTTAAACTCTCTTTGACTACTCATCGGGAGTAGGAAGTACCTTCACAGCAATCTCCCTCACAGCCATCAGAAGGGAAAAAAGAAAGAAAATGGCTGTCCTGATCTTTGGATGCGAGCAGCTGCCGGCTACTATGGTAATATGAAACCAATAATTTTATCATTTACTCATGCGTTATTTTTCCCTATGGCTTTCTTGACTTCAGGCTATCCTGTGAGCATCTCTTTCTGATGTTAAGTATAAATGTCCTTTATGTATCCATTTTTTCTAGAACTTTGCTCACTTGTTCAGTGCACGGTATTTTCAGTATCCTTCCGTAGAACATTTCTATCGCCGCACGTTTCTTCACCCACTGTGAGGAGATTGCCTAGCATTTACTCTCATATAGAAGGATTAATGTGACATAAGTTTAGTTGTATCTTTTTTTTTTTTTTCTAATGCAAGTTCCATTTCTTTATTTAACTTTTGGAATGCATACTTCGCAATCTCGATACGATTTTAAATTTCG